GTGGTGAGGTGGTAGAGGTTCGGGTGAAGTGCGTTGGGTGCGGGGAAGTTGAGGCGAGCCCGGTGGTGCAACTGGTTGAGCTCGAATGGCAACAGGAGGGGAGTCACAATCCATGCTGGCCGATCATGGCCATAACGGCTCGGCGGTGGGGAAACTCCAAAATTGGAGCTTGGCCGCGCGTGGTTCAAAGCGGGGTGGGGTCGGGTGAGTAGGTGGGTTAAAGACAGAGCTGTGGACGCGATGAATCAACGCGAGGTGACCCTTCCATACCAAACCGGACCATGGTGCCACGATGGGCAGACACGACACGGAGAGGAGAGGGAAAAGGGGTCAGCTTGGCGCGGCATCCATAAAGACGGGTGGTTGGGGGATGGTGAAACTGGTGCTCGTGCGGTTGTCGCGACGGCCAACACGACCATGAGCCCGGCAGCAGACGTGCAGAGCAGCCGCAGTGCAGCAATGGTAGAGGCACTATGGGACACGCGTGACGCAACCCCACGAAGCCATGTAGAGTGGCGTAGTGACACAGTGCCCCAGAGACACGAGGACGTGCGCGCACGGCAGCGGTCATGACCCTGTGCTAGCATGGCGGTGTCGGCCGAGCGGCGCGCCGGAGCAGCGGCACAGCGAGCAGCCAGCTGCGCGGGCAGCAAGCAGCACAGGCAGTGACGCAGGGAGGGAGGGAGAGAGAGCGAGGGATCAGCACGGCAGCGACAGACCGGCCTTGGCACGGCCACAGCAGGCAACAGCAGCACGGCGTCGGCCAGGCACGCTAGGCCGAGGCCGGCCGCAGCGGGCAATAGGCGGCCACTGCCGGCCAGAGCGCGGCAGTGCCACGCAGTGGCGTGGTGACCGCGGCCAGAAGGCCCCAAGGCCGGGATTCATAGTGATCTCGCCATTTTGGCATATTTATTTAATGGCCAAAACAATCACTAAAACCTTAACCAGCATATCATCACAAAGCTCTCAACTTGATGCAAACACTAAATACAAATAGGGCACTAGTGTTTAACCAAATTTTTCAAAATTAGTTTGCCAACATGACATCGTCGTACAATCTCAGGCTATTATTATTATTAGTAGTAGTAAGCGGGCTTAATTGGCCAACTTGTAATCATGCAAGGGGACTGGCCCAGGCACAACGGGCTAGGCTGTCACGAGCATATGACATGATGCAGTGAGTATGAATTTTTACTACAGTTCAAGCATATAAGAATTAGCCCACCATAAAAATTTTATCATAGAAACTGTAGGTATGAATTAATTACAGAAAAAAATAGATCTAAATCTATAGTAAAAACTTTGTACTGAATGATACCATATTATATGTTCACTGTGTAGATCTACTCATGTGGAGTCCAACAAAATTGGATTTTAAATTTTATGATTTTTTTGTGATTTACTATGAATTTTTAAAGATTCAGCCGAAATAAATAAAAAATAAAAAGACAAAACCGTCTTTAAAAACCGTTTATAACCGGTCAGGGAGGTAAAATAAACGGTTTTAAAAGTTCAGGGAGGTAGTTTACCCAGTTTTAGAGTTCAGAGAGAAAAAACGGACTTTCACAAAAGTTGAGGGAGGTAATGTGGACTTTTTCCTTCTGCCTACACTACAAGCCATCATCTCGTAGGCCCAGTCTAGGTATTCGCCTTGACGCAACTAACATCTCACCCTAAAAGAACCCAGTTAACATCTTTAAGTACACATGTTTTCTTATTCACTTTATTTTTTTTGTTTATTAATTTCTTTTCTTTCAAGGATTTCACAGGTTTATTGGAATCTCTGTTTTGGCACTAAAGGATTCTTTGGGGTTCTGCCTACCGGATGTTCCTTCAATTGGAGCTATATCTTATCGCTAGACACAAGTACCTTTTACGGTCTTCAAAACCTTATATGGCAAGAGTGTTTGTAGTTGTTCATTTTCTTTGTCGCCTTTTCAAATAAAAAAGACTGGCTAGTTTGATCTGTGATGTATCATCATTCTTTTATTCTAACTACTACTTCCTTGATAAATATCGTATAAGATATGAGACACTATATAATCCTAGAATATTAATCTGTTTTAGATATCTTCATAAACGTGTGTGTCATTAGATATCAGCGTCAATCCAGGCTTATGGGTTGGAGCATTTGGATGTTCAGAAATGACGACCTCTTTTCCGAGGATTGTAATAGGATGATCTTTCAGAAAGAAATCGCTTTGGTTATTCCTCGACCAAGAGCCAACACTTATTGCATATTAGTCAATGGATAGAGACTCAATTGTAATTTACTTGGTCTTCTTTGCTTCCTGGTTTCGCTGTAACTCAACTCTTGTTTTCATATATATGCCCTCCGTCGCAGTATATAAGGCGTAACCATCTTTGGTTCAAAGACCAAGGAACGTATCTATCCTGCTAATTCACCATCCTTTTCATTGCTAAACCCACACCAAAAAATGACCCCCACTGAGAAGTCCCTCATCCACCCACTTAGAAAACTGTACCTAGAAAAACAACACATTTAAAACGAACCGTTTAGATTTACTTGTAAGCTTTCTCCCTCCTTACTCAAATCTAACGGTTAAGATCACGTGTGTCAACCTCCTCATCGTCCCCATCTCCCAAGCCTGTGGGCTTCAACGCACGCCCCCGCATGGCCTGCACACCGCCTACACGGCGACGCACCTTACAAGACCCAGGATCGAATCCCAAACTCACCCAAAAAAACAAAAAAGTTTCCTTCCAAAAACTTTTCTTCTCTGCGCAATACCAGAGCGACACGGCGAAACCGCCTCTGGCCACACGGACGTCAAGCCGGCCGCACCTACTGCCTCTGGCGCGCCACGCTGCCAGAGGGGAGCGGTGGAGTGTACGGATCCTGGGGAGACCTGAATCCTTCGCCGCCGCCACCCCGGTGAAGCAACTTTTTCGTTTTTTATAGAGTTTCTTCCAAACTGGAGCATGTAAAGTCTTATATTATGAAAAAGAAACTTCCAACTATAAACATGTAAATTCTTTCATCCCAATGGTAAGCCACCTTGATTCTAAACCAACAGGTTACGGGTTCAAAGGCCCAATGCAGCATTTTTATTGAAGCATTAACCAATAAGCAATGGCTATGACTGACATGTGGGGCCTGAACCGTGAAACTGTATTGTTTCACTTCTATGACGAAGCTCAGTTAATTTATATGACTAATGTTTTTACTTCGTCACAGTTGTAGGAAGGGGCTGACGCCCACACCTAGCATCCATGACGATCAAGGTAGAATCGTCATGAATGGACCTTATTCATTGACTAAAATCTGAATCGTCATGGATCAAAGGATTTCTAGTAGTGAGGCCTCATCCACGATTGGGCCCAGAAACCTTCGGCCCACTGAGCGAGGAGCAGAACGACCGAACCCACAAGCTGCATGCCGTGATGCAGCATCGACAGGAGAGGCCACAGAACCAATCACGATCGCCGCGTGGGCGGAAAGTGGGCCCGGATCCCTTCGCCAGCGCCGGTCCACCATTGTCTCCAGGTCCGGCGAATCTCGTCGTTCTTGGCGTGTTGGAGGAGCGACTCGGGGCATCAACGAACCACGGTTCCCAGGTGATAAGCATTGTAGTTGCTATGAGCAAAATTCACCGTCGGTCCCTCAACTTAGCTTAAGATGTCATCTAGGTCTCTGGACTTATAAAGTGATATCTGTGGGTCCCTAAACTTAGCAGAAGGTGTCATTCAGGTCCCTAAGCTTTCAAGGTGATCAATGCAGGTCCCTAAACTTGACCGACGGTGTCATCCCGGTCCAAATGTGGTCTAACCCACTCTATAAGCTAGCGTGGCACGCTGACTGTACGTTAGACGTGGATCCAACATGTGTCAATTAATCAATCATTATTTATATAATATTTATCATGAAATTATAAATTATATAAAACAATTTACATCAGCAAAAAATAAATTAAAGTATTAAAATAATTTACAACAACAAATATATTAGGTTTAAACTAAAATAGAAAATACTAAAATTAATTTAATATTTGTGTCATTAATAGTATTAAAATAATATTAAAAGTTACCTATAGTATTAAAAGTTCTAATATTATGATACTACTATTAAAAGTAGTATAGTATTATAGTATAATGTTATACTACTATTCATAATACTATGATTAAAAGTTCTAAAACTATAATACTACTATTAAAAGTAGTATAGTAAATACTATAATACTATTATTAAAAATTATAATACTATAATATTATACTACTTTTAATAGTAGTATTATAGTATTAGAACTTTTAATAATTGCATTATAGTATTAAAAGTTTTAATAATAATGTTATAGTATTATAGTATTAATAATAGAGAAAAGTTACTTCTATAATACTACTATTAAAACTTTTAAAATAATACTAAAATTAGAAGTAACTTTTAATAAAGAAAACTTTTAATACTATAAGTAACTTTTAATATTATTTTAATATTATTAACGATACATAAATATTAAATTAATTTTAGTATTTTTCTATTTTAGTTTAAACCTAATATATTTGTTGTTGTAAATTATTTTAATTTATTTATTTTGTACTGATGTAAATTATTTTATAAAATTTATTATTTCAAGATAAATATTATATAAATAATGATTGATTAATTGATACATGTTGAATCCACGTCTAACGTACAGTCAGCGTGCCACGCCAGCTTATAGAGTGGGTTAGATCACATTTAGACTGGGATGACACCGTCGGCCGACCTCCAGTGATCACCTTGAAAGTTCAGAGACCAGGATGACACCGCCGCTCAAGTTTAGGGACCTACGGTGATTACCTCGAAAGTTCAGGGACCGGGATGGCACAACTGGCCAACTTTAGGGACCTGCGATGATTACTTTGAAAGTTTAGGGAACTGGATGACACCCTGTGCCAAGTTTAGAGACTCACAAATATCACTTTAGAAGTTTGGGAACCTTGATGACATCTTGAGCCAAGTTGCTATCACTGCTATCATCATCATCATCACGACGACCCTAGCCATCGTCATCTGGCAAGCTGAACGGGGTAGTCCAATCCTGGAACTTGACAATGCGCAGATGAACTAGATACGTCAGCGCTGGCAACTCCGCATGGATTACCTCCTCTGCACGAAGGTACAACGGCCCCTCATGGACGTGGACTTGGGGCTCTGGGATGCCGATTATCTTTTCATCCGGAATCAGCCTCGGATGCACGCACCAGCAAGTGACGAACAGCTCACGATCATCCTCATCAATGGCCTCTGGCAGAGCGATCTCAACCTGTGCGCACGACGAGCCGAGGACGGTCTGCGTGACGCTGGCCGATCGGGCATGAGAGGGAATTCCCATCATCCCAACAAGAACTCGAAATCTGAAAGAGCGCGCGGACGCCATGGAGGTCCTCCGTCAAAAAGGCGCACCCGGCACAGGCGTGCCCAACATGAGCTCCATGTCCTCCCGACACTGAAATCACACGATGAAGTCCTCAGGTGTGTGGCGGCGAACAGAGACGCGGTCCGCTTGTACCCCGAACGCCTGGAACAGGTGTTGGCCGACCATCTCAGGCGAGTGACGCGACACAGGCGGACGAGTGCCCCCCACGACTGCGACTAAGGCAAGGAGAGGGCCTGCTCGGCCACTTGGAGCTCGACAGAGCGAGGGACGACGACAAGCTCGGTGAAGCGGCGAGGCGCAGCCGCCGGAGCTGGAAACCTGTGGAGCGGCTTCAAACATAGCACGCGCGGCACCCTGGCCCGGGGTGGGCGGCGCACAACACCGTGGCAGCGAGGGGGAATGCCCGGTGGAGACAGAGCGACAGGACGTAGTGTCGTCGTCGGGAGCCGGTTGCTGTCGAGGCGAGGTTCTCCGCTGAGGGGCTGCACGCCGGCCACCAAACGCACACGACGGGGAGCGACCACGCTTCGCGTCCCGCTACAGCCGATGCGACGCCATGGGATGGGACAATGCCGTGCCTGGTGGCCCTCGCACTTGTATTGAAAGCATATGGCCGGCACTGTACAGTTCGCCTTGACATGATCATTGGTGAGATAGTTGAAGCAGAGCCCCACAAGGTTGGACGGCACCGAGCGAGGAACCCTGGCCAGCTCACGGCGGCGCCAACGACGTCGGCTCTACACCTGATGGAAGCCGTCCACATCCGGCTGAGCCAACAGCCTCGCCGGATGGACCACGACGGAGGCAATGCGCCGCGCCGGCTGATTCAGAGGCGCCGTGGCGTGCACACGCCTTGTGGCCTCCATGAAGCCCGCCGGCGCGCTGCGCGACAACGACGACGGTGGCGCTTCTTCTCATAGTCGACGACGCTCTTGCCCTTCGCATCCGCCCTCGGAGAAGGAGGCTCATAGTCCTCCGATGATCCCTCCGAATCCCAGGACTCCGGCCGAAGAAAGGCTCCGCGTTCGAGTTGATGCCCTGCGACATGGAGGGACGGCCCGAAACAGCAGGGGACTGGGAGCCGAGGAACGACTCCGCATTCGGATTCAGGCCCGGTGACGCGAAAAGGCGTGCAAGACGCACGGCAAACTCCTCCTGTGCAGCAGCGGCGAGCGGCGGAAGCTGCGACGGCGAGGCGGACCGGGAGCGACGGGAGGGCGAACCAGGCTCCATATATGGTGAGCGGAGGTTAGTGGAGACGGTTAGGCGGTAGCGGAGGAGGCGGGAGGCCGGCACCGGAGCGGCGCCGGCGAGCTGGGCTGGTGGACGCCGGGGCCGGCCACCGGCGGACTATGGCGGAGTGCTTAGCAGCTCAACTCACCTGACGCTGTGGCCTGATCTGAACTAGCAGCTTTGCAAATTGCCGACTATTTTTAGGAGTATGAAACAACGGGACCTAAATAAAATTTCTAGAGGTGGTTGGTAATGTGATCTGTCTCCAAAAATAGATGCAAAACAAATAATCATAATATGTTCAAATGAAGTTGGATGAAGACGAATTTTACATGCATTAAAGTTGTACAACTCGAAGAGATCTACGTTGCTTTGTAGTTTATGACCTTTTTATTCGAAATAGTTTAGACAGGGTCCCAAGTATTTGTCGTTTTGAATTCTTAGATTAATTCAAATTTTTGATTTTTTTTTCGGAACGACCTTGGATGGACACCGGCCTTATATCAAAGTTATAGTGCTTAACGACATCTGAAGCTTTGTAGTTCAAGCTAGTTTCATTCGAAATCGTACCGTTTAGACACTGAAATTTTCAACACAAGATACAGTGTCACATGTTAGTGTATGATACAGTGGTAGGGTGCTCTCGTGAAGTAAGAGCCCATTAGTGAATACTATTTAATTTGCTTTACCTGAAGTTTCATTTTGTTATAAAAGTTCATACTCACAAGTTGATTTGTGTGAAGATGAGATGTCGCCAAATCCGCTGTGGCGAGGAGGGTGTCTGCACCGGCGCATGATAGTATTTATTTACATAAACCAAATTAATACAACAGTCCTGGGAATAACTAGAATAGAGTAATTCAAATTAGAAGAAAGCACCAACATATAAAGTTAAAGGACTACTAAACGGAGTGTGCGCACGCGGAGACCGAACCGCCTGCACGGCTGCACCTGCACACCTATTCTTCTTCTCCCCCCCACCCCGCCCCACCATCTTCTCCCTCCCCGGTGCCTCCTCCCCTGCCGCTGGCCGCTCGATGGTTCTAACTCCAGATCCGGTGATGATGCCTCCGCCTCCCCCACCTCCCACCGCCGCGCGGCCCACCTCCCACAGCTGTGGCACGCTAGGTTCTCCATAGCCACGGCCGGGGAGCTTCGGCGAAGCCCTAGCTTGCCCGCGGCGGCCGCCTTCTTCCCCTTCCCCTCCCCCGCCCTCCCGCATGCGGCTATGGCGAACTCCGGCAAGCTCCACCGTAGTCCGGCCATGGCGCCCCCGCACTGACTTGGCCCGGCCACCACTGCCACCGCCAGCTCCCCTAAAACCGCCTGCCTGCCATCCCCACCACCTGGCCGGCCTTCCTCCCCCGGTCGGGCCCCTTCTATACCCGCCGGAGTTGGAGAAGAAGGGGCGGCGCAGCTCGCCTGAACCCTAGGCGCCGCCGGAGTTGGAGAAGGCGTGGGCGGGCGCGTGGCGTGGCGCGTGTGTGGGCAGCGTGGCCTCTGGCGGTGGCGCTTCTTCTCTAGCGAGTTGGTGCGGCGCTTCTTCTCCTGTGAGATGGTGCGGCGCGCGCGGGCGCAGGCGAGGGAGAAGAGAGCATCTGCGCGGCAGCCGGGAGCGAATCGAACGGCCGTTTGGGAGAATCGGACGGCCATCGAGATGTGTGCGCCGAAACTTCATGGCCTGCGCATTCGAAAACAAGCATTTCCCAAAGTTAAAATATATCCTACACAGGAAACGAATCACCGAGAAGAAAATTCCGGTTTCCAGTAGCAGGAAGAGGTAAAGGTATTACTAGGCTTACTCCACGTGTTCTGCCAGAAGTTATCCTATGATATATTTTAGATTTTGCAACAAGTGCATCAAAACAATAGAATCGGAAATGCTGTTTTCATGCAGATTATTTATATAAGCAATAATAAGGCACCAATAAATCTGATTATAAATAAATGGCGCTACATAAATAAATCTCTCCTGTTTTGGAACTCTATGTTCTCGATCTCACTCTCACTCTCACTCTGACAGTAAAAAAGACGGCATCTATCGATATAATAGTAATAGTAATAATTCCTTGACACACACAAAGAAAAGAATAGCCAACGAATAATCTATGCATGTATCATATGATACACAGCATATTCTTGTCCTGCGTCGCTTCTCGTTCTTGCTTTTGGCCTTGCAGATGAGGAAGGTTCAGCTTCAGCGTGTGCGTGTCCTGCTGCTGGATTCATCGCTGGTGACGAGTTGCTGCTGTTGCTCCTCCTCCTCCATTGGATGTCAGTCAGTGGCCTAAGAGCGAGGAGCAGAGACGCCCAAGCAGCCGTGGAAAGCGACCTGTACGAACCCTTCTGGCTGGTTATGTATATCTCCTCCTCGAGCTCTCTATGTAGAAACGTAGTCTTTACATCTAACTGCTCAAGCTCAAGATCTCGCATAGCAACAATACCGAAAAATGTACGAATTGAACTATGCTTTACAACTAGAGAGAACACATCATTATAATCAACACCAGGAATCTGACTGAAACCTTTTGCTACTAACCTTGCCTTGAATCTTGGAGGCTCACTAGGAGACAAACCCTCCTTTCTCTTGAAGATCCATTTGCAACGAACGGCCTTCTTACGTTTAGGCAAGCACACAACATCCCATGTGTCATTTTTCTCAAGTGACTGCATCTCTTCTTGCATAGCGGAAATCCACTTCTCGCGGTCACCAGAAACAACAGCTTCAGTGTACGTAGCCGGCTCATGAATGTTCTCAACCTGTTCAGCACAACTAAAGGCATAATGAACAATATCACATTCCTCAATTAAACGTGGACGAGGTCCACAACTCCTCTTTGTTCTGCGATCTGCAATAGACTGATTTTGAGGCTGCAAAACAGGAGGTGAATGCTGAACAATATCATGAACATTGTTATCAACAATTTCAGTTTCCTGATCATCTACGTGCTCCACCTGTACGCTAACATGTTCCTGCTCCTCATCAGAACCAACTGGTGAAACATCTGTGGACAAGCTGTCGTTAAACATAACAGATTCATTGAAAACAACGTTCCTGTTCATGAAAGTCTTTTTAGTTTCAGGATTCCATAACTTATATCCTTTAACTCCAGAATCATAACCAAGAAACAGATACTTAATGGCTCTAGGTTCTAGTTTTCCATTATCAACATGAGCATAAACAGTGCAACCGAAAACTCTCAACTGTGAATAATCAGCAGGCATAACAGACCATACCTCAATGGGAGTTTGCTTATTAAGTGGGATAGAAGGTGACCGATTGATCAAGTAACAGGCAGTGTTAGCAGCCTCAGCCCAAAAACGCCTGTTCATACGAGCATTGGACAGCATGCAACGAGCCCTCGAGATGATGGTTCGGTTCATGCGCTCAGCCACACCATTCTGCTGAGGAGTGTATGAGATGGTGTGGTGCCTGACAATGCCTTCTTCCCTGCAGTAATCATTAAAAGCATCCGAATAGAATTCACCGCCATCGTCAGTACGAAGCAATTTTACCTTCCTTTCAGTTTGCCTTTCTATCATAACTTTCCACTCTTTAAAAGCAGTAAAAGTATCATCTTTATTTTTCAGAAAGTAAGGCCACACTTTTCTAGAGTAATCATCAATAATGGTAAGCATGTAACGAGCACCACCATAAGAGGGCTTACGAGACGGCCCCCACAAATCAGCATGTACATAATCAAGTATACCTTTGGTGGTATGAACAGATGCATTGAATTTTACCCTCTTGTGCTTACCAAAAACAC